CTATAAAGGTATTTAATTTTTTATTAAAAATAAAATATAATATTTATATTTATTATATATAAATATAAATAATTTATTATATTATTATATATTTTTTAAAATATTATATTCCTTATTATTTAAATTCTTTTATTATATTTAATTATATATTTAATTTATAAATAAATATTATATTTAAAAGTTTATAGTTTTAATAGAAATTTTAATATTTATTTTATTATTTTTAAATATTTATATAAATAAAATAAAACTTATATAACTTAAATAATAATATTAATAATATAAATTATTTAAAACTATTTTATCTTTTATATAATTAAAGTATTTATTTATATATTATTAAAATTATTATTAAATATTTTAACTTTTATATAATATAAATTTTTTTTTATATTTTTACTTATAAATTTATTAAATTTAATAAAATAAAATTTAATTATATTTTCTTTTAATATAATTTATATAATATAACTTATAATACTATAATTAAATATATTTAAATTTAATAAAATATATAATATATATTTAATATTTTAAATTTATAATTATTATTTAAAATAATATATTACTTTTAATATATTTAATATTTATTATATTTATTTTATTTTATTTAATTTTATTTTATAAATTTTAATATTTAAATAAAGTTTTATTATATAAATTAATTATATTTATTTTATTATTAAATATAAATTTTAAATATAATTTTTATATAATTTTTATATTTTATATTAATTATTATATTTATTATAAATATATAAATAATATAAATAATATTTATTTTATTTAAAATTTAATAAATTAATATTATTAAAGTTATTAATTATTTTATTTATATTTATTTTATTTATAAATAATTTATATATATAAATAATAGTAATTTTTAAAATTTTTTTAATAAATTTTTTATCTTTTATTTTTAATTTATTAAAAGGATTAATACCTTTCTTTTAATTTAATAATTATAAAAGTAATTTATTAATTTTTTATTTTACTTTAATTTATTAAAATTTAGTTTATATATATAAATATTTTCTTTTTTTTTCTTTTTTATTTTCTAAACTTTTAATATCTTATTAAGATTAAAAATAATAATTTTTTTTAATATACCCCTTTAAATTATAATAAAAGTATTTTATAATTTTTTTATTATTATTATTATTATTTTTATAAATAATATTTTATAAAAGCTTTTTTCTTAATTTATTTATTAAATTAATAAATAAAATATTAATTATATAACTTTTAAAATCTTTCTTTAAACTTTATATAATATTTTATATAAATCTTTTATAATTATTATTAAATAAATTTAATATTTAAATAATAATTATTTATTTAAAAGATTAATATTATTTATTTTAAATTTTTAATTAATTATTTAACTTTATTTAAATATTTTTTATAATATTAAATTTCTTTTAAAAATATTTTAAAGTTTTTAAAATTAAATATTTTATAATAAATTTACTAAGTTTATAAAAATCTTTAAAATATCTTAAAACTTTATAATAATATTTTATATTTTATATATATAAGAAATCTCTTTATATATTAAATAAATTAAAATATTAACTTTATAATTTTATTAATTAAAAGATTTTATAAATTACTATTATTTTTAATTAAATTTTTTATAAAAAAGTTATAGTTTTTATACTTTAATATAAATAATTTTTATATTAAATAATTAAAGAATATTATATTTATTATATAAAATTATAAAATTTATAAAGAATTTTTAAATTAAAACAAACTTTTTTATTAAAGGAAAAAATTTATATTATAGAAATAAGTTAAAAACCTTATATAATAATACTCTTTTAAGTATATTTTTATTATATTTAATATATTTTTAATTCTTTTATAACTTTTCTATAAAAGTTTTATTTATTTTAAAATTAAAAATATTTTTAAAATTTTTAATTATATTAAATATAATATAATAAATTAAAAATTATATTTTATAATAAAGTTATAAGTTTTAAAAAATATTTTATAAAGTTATAATAATAATAATCTTTTATAATAATATTAAAAATATTTTTAAATATTTTCTTATAAATTAAATATTAAATATAATATATATTAATTTTATTTAAATATTAAAAATTAATTAAAGTAATTAATTTTAAATAAATTATAAAATTTAAATATTAAAGTATTATTAATAAATACTTTAAGAAATTTAAAGTTTTATTAATTAATTAAAATAATAATAAAATATTATTAAAAATTAAAGAAATTTAAAATTTTAAATAATATTTTTATAAAAAAATTTAATTAAAAATTTATAAAGTAAAAATTTAAAAATAGAGTTAAAAGGAGGATTTTAATAAATATTTAAAAGTTTTAATAAAAAATTAATTTAAATTTTTTAAAAAAATTAAAAAATTTATATAATAACTTATTAAAATTATAAAATTTAAATAATTAAAAATAATATAATTAAAATTTATTTATTAAAATAAATTAAATAATATACTTTATAATAAAATAAGTTTTATAATAGTAAAATAATTAAAAAGTATTTAAAATTAATAATATTAAAGGTAAATATAAATAATTTAAAGTATTTATTAATTTTAATTTAAAAGGGTAAAATTTAATTAATTTAATTAAAAATAATTAAAAATTTAATTTAATTAAATATAGACTTAATAAATTTAATATAATAAATTAACTTTTAAAATAAATAAATTAAATTTATTATAATTTAATTAATTAAATATTAAAGAATATAATTTATAAAAATAAAAGAATAAATTTCTTTTAATTACAAATTTATTTAAAAGAAAAAGAATAATCCTTTTTATAAATAAAGGTAAATTCTTTAAACACTTATTAAAATATTATAGAAATTAAGAGAAATAAATATTTCTTATATAAGTTAGTATCTTATATTTAAAGGATTAAAATAGTAGTTATATTAGGCTATAAATAGATATAAAGCTGTTGATAAATAGGGTATTTTTATAAGGGCGGTATATGCAATGGGAGGCGCGACTGCTAGCTACACGCCTTGACCGTCCGGCCAAAAGACGATAATAACCAATCTACCAATTGGTTAGTCAAGCAGTACATAAGTGCCGCACCGTCACTGCAGAGTGTCAATGCAACTGTTTGATCACATCTATGTGCGGTACGAGCCTCAGCCACGTGCCCACGTACTGTATTCTCTTTCCACTATTATTGGCACTATATTTCTTCAGACGCTGGGTGTTGAGCGTTTACCACCATATGAAGGTGCTATATACATTTTATATGTATGGGGATTAAAAATGAAACGGCTTTAGCCACACTATATTTTTCCTTTATATTATATAACTATTTATTTCTTCCCTTTAAAGCTTATATATAAAGTCTTTAATAGCTTTATATATATCCTTATAATCTTTTTATAGAGAAACTTTAAATTCTTTTTTTTATTTTTATTATATTTTTCTATATTATTAAAGAGTTAATAATTATTAATAATAAAAACATAAATTTAAAAAAGGATAAATTTATTATATTCTTTCTTTATTTTTTATAACTTACTTTTAAAACTTTTTAAAAAGTTTTAATATTATATTATAAAGTTTTAAGAATAATATATTATAAATTATTTTTTATTTTAAGTTTTTTAAAGTTAGTTATATATTTAAATAAAAATATAATAATTATTTAATAAAGGTTTTATTTAAATATATATATTTAAAGGAATAATTTTTAATTAAATTATTTTTAATATAATTTATTTATATAATAATTATATTTAAAGATTTAATTTTATTATATAACTTCTTTATAATAATTAATATATAAACTATTTTTATTTATAATTTTAATTATTATTATTATTAAAATAATATTTTTTAATTTTATTTATATATTATAAAGTTAAAGTTATAAATATTTATTATATTATAATTATTATTATTAATATTATATTCTTTTTAAATATTAAATTTTAAATACTTATTATTATATAAAGGTGCTATATATATTTTTAAATATATATAGAATAGAAGTGAAACCATATAAAAATAAAACCACTTAATCACCTCTAAAGAAACCGAGGTTTTTCACCTGGGCAGTCAAAGCTGCATCATTCTGGTGGTTAGTTTCCGAAGAGAGGTTTCCGACGTTTTTCCGTGACATTGGAACCTACCAGAAAGGGCCAATCCATGCTGAAGAGAGGCGTGGGTACATCAATTCCTCTGTAGAGAATTGAGGAAGGATAATAACATACCTAGGTACCTAGGTACTAGTAGGTAAGTTACAATCGACGGCGACCTTATCATGCAGAGTTTCGATTACAATGGCACTACTTGAATGTCTTTCTCTTGGTTGGCTTCAAGTTAATTGGATAGTTAACATGGTCAACCTCACCCGTCGGACCTCTTGAGTTTGTCAGATGGGCGTTCCGCTTGTGAACGGCAGGCTATTATGTGAAGCCAACACTGGGAACATGCCCAATAACTGGCAAGATGTGGAGAATAGAGCATCATGGAGACGGCACCCCGCCACGAGGAAGCCCAAGTGACCAGCTGCTTCATGACATGAGGCTTGCATTGGTGCATGGCCTATTACGGAGTGCTGTGTACTATTCGGTTCCCAGCTGATGGTAGAGCCGGGCTGTCTGTGACTGACTGGATCGGGCTGATCGGTGACTCACCTGGGCAGTCCCGGGAGTGGAGCTCCGAGTCCATGAGTAGCAGTAGACAGGCATTGCTGGGGGTCTAATCGCAGAGATTGAGTAAGTGGCTTTTCCAAGGTTCTCCGCCGCAGCACAACGAAGCTTTCCGTGGGACGCCCGCCCGGCTAATACAAGGGCGATCGCCGTCCAGTTAGTGCAGCCATGGCTCCGCGCGTAGCTCGGCACCAAGAAGTGTATGGGAAGGTACTTCCGGGGACGCGGCCCTCCAAACGGCAGATTCCGCTGATCGCCAGCAAATTTTCCCGCCCGGCCTCCCCAACGGGCGAGGAAAAGAAGTTCAAGAGCAGCGCGGGAACCTTTCCAAGCTCCCGGATGCAGGGGCAGATACGCCATCCCCGAGGACTTGTCGACCACCTGCCAAGCTGAGGGATTTCTCGGGCCTCAACGTCTGAATTGGTGTGCTCTGGTTCGAGTTTTCCTCTCGTCTTACAGAGAGACACACACCCGGCACGGATACTTGCTTGGCCAAGGCACGTTTGCGATGATAAGAGGACGAGTGTGCTCCCACGTCGCACAGCTCAGGCTTCCTTCAGGTTCCTCCTCGGTCCTGTCCACAGTGGGGCTTACTCAGAACCTCAACCTCAACGCCAGTCTCAACCTCAACGTCAGCCGCAGTTTTCTCCGTCACTGCAGCTCCTCCTCCGGGCCCCGCGGTCGTCACTTCTCGCCTCACATCGTCTCACCAACCACCACCAAGCGCACCCTCAGGAGCATCATGTCGGACGAGCAGATCTCCCGGTACCTGCAGCAGACGCACGACCGTGTGTTCGAGCACAACACCAAGTGGGCGGCCGACAAGAAGGCCCAGGACCCGGAATTCTTCTCCAAGCTCAGCGCCGGCCAGAAGCCCGAGTACCTGTGGATAGGCTGCAGCGACTCGCGCATCCCCGCCGAGCAGATCACCGGCCTCGAGCCCGGCGAGGCCTTTGTCCACCGCAACATCGCCAACCTGGTCTGCAACATCGACCTCAACGTCGCCTCCGTGCTCAACTACGCCGTCGAGCACCTCGAGGTCAAGCACATCGTCGTCTGCGGCCACTACGGCTGCGGCGGCGTCAAGGCCGCCATGACCCCCAAGGACCTCGGCATCCTCAACCCCTGGCTCAGGAACATCAGGGACGTCTACCGCCTGCACGAGCACGAGCTTGACGCCATCGCCGACGAGTCCGCCCGCTATGATCGCCTGGTCGAGCTCAATGTCATCGAGCAGTGCCGCAACGTCGTCAAGTCTGCCGCCGTCCAGAAGTCCTACGCCAAGAACCACTTCCCCATCGTCCACGGCTGGGTCTTTGGCTTCAACGACGGCCTGCTCAAGGACCTCAAGTTCGACTTCGCCACCGCCCTGGCTGACATCCAGAAGATCTACAAGCTCGCCGAGTGACGGCTGTAGCTGAGCTGTCGTAGAGGGCGTTTAGAGGGAGATTCGGGCGTTTAGAGGGGCTTGGGGTCTGCTTGGGGTGCGGCTGTAAGGCGTAGGTGCGTGCCAGGGCCAGCTTGAAGTGGTTTACATCCTCTGATTAGGGGCCGGGAGCCGGATGGTCACGGAAAAGGCATAGGCCATGGGCCATTTTGGTTCTGAGATTTCTGCACAACATATAGCGATACGCCCTTTTATGGGGAATAAGAATCAAACATCCTGCACTTTCCTCCGCTCGAGAGTCAGCACCGGTCCAGCCTCAGCTCCTGTCTTGAAAAGGGTATAGATATGTGCTGCGGGAGCGTGCCCGAGTCACAGTCCTGGCCAGGGAGGAGACTTACAGATGCCAATGTTGATGAACGCGGGTATCTAGCTATACAAGCGAATTTTAACGAGCACCAGTTGACAACACACCAACTGCTTGAAGCTGGCCTGGCTAATTCACCCATTCAACGTTATGGGACATTTGATAGCTGGAAGTCTATCCGAGCTCCCACCGGAGTCGGTCTATCTGGTTCGGCCACTATCCTGTTTTCATTGAAAGTAACAGCTATGTACAAATACGCAGCGGGTTCTTGACATTGTCCTTCCTTTTCAGCTCAGATGCTGATGCACAATGCCCTTTAAGTGGGGCCAATCATGATGAAGACCTTGGTAATCTTTGAGAAGTTGCTCTCCTGCATGAGGAGAAGCCAAAGGTAGCAACGGGTATCCCAATCAGCTAGCAAAGACAAACACGGAATCTTTGAAAGACCAGCGCCACAATCGCTCAGCTCGTCAATGGCTCCAATTCCAAGGTCTTTGATGGACGGCTGAGCTCTTCCGTACTTTTGGGACTTAGTCAAACCACTGCTTGCCACAACTCCACGGTGATCAATCAAAGCATGATTATCGATTCTGAATTGATGGACATGGTGGTTTCCCCACCGTGAACGCCCTAATCAGTAAATTGAACTCACTCCGCCTCCAGCCGAGATGGTTCAACAATGCTTATTGTTCCAGAACAATCGACCATTAAATACGCCAGGGACTTTGGGCTACCTATAGTATTATTGTCTCATCACACAAGGTCAATGACTAGTTGGTACCACGTATCATTGCCGTGGTAATTCGAGAACAATCAGATCAAATTCCGCCGGAATCTATAAAGATTAATATCAACCTACTGAGTGGAACTGTATTCTTCTCACCTTCTACAACCACTTACTTCCAAGCACTTCTAAGTCCAACACCGAAAAGTCTTTCCCAAGTCAGCAACGCCAAGCACGTGTCCTGGTGACCTTTGACTTGTGCAATATTTTTGGGCAAGTATCGTTAGCCGTAAACTTGACAGCAGAGTCTCAGAACACGAGTACTAGGAAGTAGCACGAAGTGGTGGTAGTCGACAACGCTTTCCACTCTAAACTGTCACGAAGGGTACCATGTCTCATGAACAAGGTAACGATGGCCCTATTTTTAGGCTGCCGAATAACCTTTACAAAGTTCTGGACGCTTCACTTCCATCTGAGCAGGAACTTTTATCACCGCAGGCAACCTTGCGCGATTGTAGTTACGTGGTGTGCGTCGAGGATCTTGGCCAAACGGGTATGTCGCCTGAAGACAAGGCATTCACAGTCGAAGCATTTGGCAATTTTGAAGGCCTTGGGTCTGGGGAGATTAGCAGCTTTACCCCTCTTGCCTTCGAGGCACTCGTCGAGGGGATCCGTGAGCGGAATCCAAATGTAACTCCAAATTTGACCGTCTGGTCCACCTCTAACCTGGCCACACCGGCTAAGCGCGTCTCATCTAATCAGCAAGTCTCTATACAACCTTTTCATAACCTAAATTCTAATTTTACTAAATAACTAAAAAGGGTTTTAAAAAGGGTTTTAAAAAGAATTTAAAGAGGTATTTTAAGTATTAATAATAAATATATATATACTATAAATATAAATATTTAATTTTATAACTTAAATTCTTATTTTCCTTTAAAAAGAATTTAAAAAAGTCTCTTAAAAATTAGTTCTAAATAATTAAAATATAAAGAATACTTTAAGTATAAAAGTTAATATAAATAAAATAATTAATTTTATTAATACTATTAAATTTTAATTAACTTACTTTTAATAAAAATTATAAAACTTAAATTTTATTATATTTAAAAAATAAAAGTTATAAATATAAATATAAATATAATAATATATAAATAAAAATTATAATAAATAAATATACCTTTTATATTAACTTTTATAATAAAAGTATAATATAAAATTAATTTTATTATTAAAAGCTATTAAAGAGTATTTTAAATATTATTTATAATAAACTATTTATATAAAAAAATAACTTAAAAAGATATATTTAAATATAATATTAAACTAAATAAACTCAACTAAATATCTAAATATAAAAATATATTAAATAAACTCTACTAATTAGCCTAAAGATACTTACTCTTTAAGAACTTATTAAGCTCTCTTAAATATAGTTAAAGCTAGCCCACATTAATAACCTCCACCTTATAGTTAATAAAAACTTTTAATAACCTTATATAAAGAAGTTACTTACCATAATATAATATATAAATAAAAATTAATTTTATTTAAATAATATTAAAATAAGTAACTTTTATATAATTATATAATATATATACTATATTATATAAAAAAAAATTATAATATAAAGTATTAAACTATATATTAACTATTTATATAAATAAAAGTAAACTTAAAACTAGAGTAAAAGTAATTTAATAGATATTATCTATTAGTTTATAATATTATAATATAATATTAAAAGGTTAAAAATAATTATTATAATAAAAGTATTATTATAATTAAATATAAAACTAAATATATTAAATTAATATATTAAATATATTATAAAGTAATAAAGTTAGTTAATAGTTTATAAAGAAATATATATCTTTTATACTAATTAATTAAAAATTAATCTATTTAAAGATTATTATAAAACTTTTAATTAATATACCTAAATATTAATAATACCTATATAACCTATAATATTTAAACTATATTACTCTTTTATTATAAATAATTATTTAATTTAAAACTAAAATATAATTATAAAATAATATTTAACTAACTACTTTATTAAATATAATCTATTTAAAAATAAAATAGTTTATATTATATATATTTAAATAAATTAAATCTATATTAAAATATAATTAATTAAAATATAATAAACTATAACCCATATTAATTTATAATACTTACTATAAAAATATTTAAATAAATCTTAATTAAATAAAATATTATAATAAGGTAAAAGTATTTTAATAAATTAAACTATAAAATATTAATATATTATAAAATCTATAATCTCTATCTTTATATAATACTATATATTATTAATTTATAAATAATTTACTTTATAATTCTAAATATTTAAATAAATATTATTTAACTTTCTATTTATAAATATTTAATAACCCTATTAATATATATTTCTATTATTTAAAATATAACTATTCTTAATATTTCTTTATAATAATAAATACTATTTATAACTTTAATACCTTAGGTATTACTATCCTAATAAATTTAAAAATATATAATAATATTAAAAACTAATATTTATTTATACCTTCTATACTTAAATTAAATTATTTAATTTAATAATTAATTATTAGAATTATTTAATCTATAAATACCTAAATTAGGTAGTAAATTATTAATAAGATATACTATATAATTAGAATTTAAGGTTTATTAAAATAGTTTTAATTTAAATATTTATTAAATTAATAAAAGAAAGCTTTAATAAATAATTAAAAATAAATTTAAATAGAATAAAATTTTATTATAAAACTTTAAATAAATATAAATATATTTTATAATTTTTATATAAAACTTTAATATATAATACTTTATAAAATAATTTTAATTTAAAAAAAAATAAAACTTTTTATTTTAAGTTTTCTTTTAAATAATATTATAAAATAAATATAAAATTAAAGTAATTTTAATTAATTTAAATATAAAATATAATAAATATTTAAACCTTTTTTATAATACTACCTTATTAATTTTAATACCTTTAATTTTTATTTATCATAATATATAATATTAATATTATTTATTAAATAAAAAATAAAAAAGAATAAAATAATATAAATAAAAACTAAAAAAAAGTAAAGATATTATACTTTATTAATAAACTACATAATATTACTTACTATTAAACTTAAAACTATTAATATTAATATTTAATTAATATATTAATAATTAATTATACTATATTATTAGTTATATTTAATTTTAAGTTTTATATTTTATTTATTTTATTTATTTTAATTAATTTATATAATATTAATATAAACTTTATAATTATTTTCTAATATATATAAAGCCTTTTATTATAATAGATATAATTTATTATAATATTTACCTTTAAAAAAGCTTTATAACTATATTAATTTTATTAAATTATATCTTAAACTTAATTAAATAATAATAAAAATTAATAATAAAATATTTTAATTTCTAAAAAACTTATTAATATTAATTATAATAATTAATTTAAACCTTTAATAATATAATATATATTTATATTTAACTTTATTTAATTTAAATTAATTATAATTAAAATAAATATATTTTTAAATTATAATACTTTAATTAAATATTTTTTATTTTTATTATTCTACTTCTATTAAATATTAAACTTTTTTATATTTAAAATTATTTAATTTATAATATTTAATAATTTTTATTTTAATAAGATTATAATAAAAATATAATTTAATAATATTAAATATAAACTTTATAATAAAACTATAATAATTAAATTATTTATTAAATAATACTTTTATTAAAATTAAAAAACTATAAATATTATAATATAAATCCTTCTAACTTTAAAAACTTTTATTATTATATAAATTTAATCTAATTTAAAATATTAATAAAATAAATAAAATATTAACTAAATATAAAGATTTAAAATAAATTTTAAAAATTTAAAAGAAAAAAATTATAAATATAAATATAATATAAAGTTTTAATTAAAATATATTAAAAGAAATAAAAAAATAAAAACTATTTACTTATAAATTAATAAAACTTCTAAACTTTTATTTAATAATATTCTTTATTTTTTAAAGTTTAATTTAAATTTATAATTTAAAATTTAAATAAATTATAAATTTTAAAGGAAAAATTTAATTTTAAAATTAATTAAAATTACTTAAAATAAAATAATTTTTTATTTATATAATTAATTATTTAAATTATTTTAAAAGTAAAAATAAAAAATAAAATATTAATTTTATAATTTAACTTTTTTATACTTTTATAAATATTTTAATAAAAATAATAATTTATATATTATTTAATAATTAATATAAATATATTATATTTAAAGTTTATAATATTTAATATAAAATATAAAAATAAATTAAACTATTTTATTATAAATAATTAATTTAATAATAATATATAAATTAAATATTAATAATAAAAACTCTAATAATATAAAAATAAATATTAAAACTTTTAATAACTATATTAAAATTAATAATTAATAATAAAATAAAATTTATTATTAATAAATTATAATAATTTAAATAAAATATATATAAAATAGTTATAAAAAAATAATTTATATTATAAAAACTATTTTAATATTTTAAAGGTATTTATATTATATATATATTATTTATTTTATAACCTATAAAGCTTATAATTAATATTTAAATTATTATTTTATTAATTATTAACTTTTAAAGTTATAAATAATTTAAAATATTAATATAATAAAATAATTTTAAAAAAATAATTATATTTATTTTAACCTTTTATAAAATGTTACTTTTATTAAAATATATATTTATAATTAATTAATAATAATAATATTAATTATATAAATAATTAAAGTAATATTTAACTTTATTTTATTATAAATTTAAAATTTTAATTATTATTACTATATAATAATATAATTTATATTTTATAATTTACTTTAACTTAAAAAAATTAGCTATATTAAAAGTTAATAAATTAATAAAAAAATATATTTTATAAATCTATTTATAAACAACTTTTATAATTAAACCCTTTAGTTAGTATATTTCCTTAAACTTTATAAAGTTTATATTTATTATCTTTTAATTAATTCTTTAATAAATTATTATTAAATAGTTTAAACTTATATAATATTAAATAAACTATAATTTTTATATAAATTAATAAAAAATTTATATTTTTAATTAAAACTATTATTTATATTTATATATTTATCCTATATTTTTATTTTATTAAAATATAAAATTTAATATAATAATAATAACTAACTATTTTTATTATTATAATTAATTATTTATTTATAATAAAATTTAATTTTAAAATAAATATAAATATTATTATAAAAAATTAAAAATAAAAATTATATTTATTATTTATTATAATAAATAAAATAATTATAAAATTAATAATTATATTAATATTTATTTAAAATACTTTATTTATATATTTTTATATATTTATTTAATTAAAATATATTATTTTATAATAAAAACTTATTAATATATCTTTTAATAAATAGTTTATTATAATTACTTTATTACTTTTTAATTAAAATATATTATTTATTATTTTATATAATAAAATATAATTTTATATAAAAAATAATTATAATAATAATTTAACTTTATAACTTAAATATATTTTATAATTATAAATAACTATAATATTTTATAAATAAAAATATAATTATTTAAACTTATTAAAATTAATTTTATATTATTAAATAATTAACTTTAAATAAAATATATTTAAAAAATTATTAAAAGAAT